AATCTATGCAGGGATGAATCCTCTGATTAGGTCACAGTCCTCATGATCCAATCACCAATCAATTCACAGGATGGAAACCAAAGCTTCAAGTGTGTGTGTGTGTGTGTGTGTGTGTGTGTGCTGGTATGAGGGCTTAAACTTGGGGCCTTCAACTCATTTGGCTTTTTTGCTTAAGGCTGGTGCTTTACCACTTGAGCCACAGCTCCATTTCTGGCTTTTGGCTGGTTAATTGATGATTAGACTTTCATGGACTTTTCTGCCTGGTTAGGCTTTGATCCACAATCCCCAAATCACAGCTTTCTGAGTAGTTAATATTATAGGTATGAGACACCAGCACCCAGATTTTCTCTTTCTCTGAAGTGGTTTCTCCATGTTTTCCTGGTTGGTAAAACACTCCAGTACCAGGAATTGGGAATAAAATGTCTGAAGGGCCTCAGTGGATGAGTGATGAAGCAATATATAAAGCTCAGGCTCTGGTGTTATGCAGATGAAAACTCACGTGGGCCTTCCACATGATTGTTGCTTCCTGGGGGAACTGGTGCAGGAAATGTTCACAAGAAAAGTCTGAGCAAAATCCTGAATAAAGAATTGTCCTGCAATTCAAAATGAGGATTAAATGGCTCTGCCATGTCTTTTCTGGACCACATGATTGGACCTGGAGGAGTGCTGAGTGACACACAGGCGTGTATCCAGACAGGAGGCCCACATGAGCCTAGTGAGCCTGATCATACCATGCCAGCCTCCTCCCAAAGCCTCAACAGGAAGGAAGCTGCTGCTGTTACTATGTTCTGCTAATATAATAAGTGGACTCAACTGAGTGCATCTTTCCAGATGCTGGTGGGGACTTCTCTGACTTCACATTCCTTCACACATCTGCTGTGAGAGGCAGAGGGATGAATGGGTGGGTATAATGGACTTACAAGTATTCTTATGAGGTAAAGAGGGAGTCAAGAGCATCAGAGCACAGAGGAAGGCCTAGAGAGGTTGAAGGAACTTCAAGTTGAGAAATACAGACAAGACAAGGGAATAGATGGGTTTCTAAATCCTCAAGAAGGAACACAACCTTAGCAACACGTTGATTTCAGGATTTCTTATCTCCAGAACTCTGAGGACACATGTTTGTGTTGTTTTAAGTGATCACATTTAAGGCAACATGACAGAGCAAAAGTCCCAAGGGAAGTTTGTGTTCTTTACTTTTCTGCTATAGGTTGGTTGGGTCATGATATAGCCGGGTGCAGTGGTATGTGTCTGTCATCTCAAACTATATGGAAAGCTGAGATTGAGAGGGCCCTGCTGCCAAGAGAGCCAGAATAGAAAGGGCTGACAGACTCAGTTTCCACAAGGCAATCTGGACATGGTGGCATGTGCTTGTGATCCTAACAAAAATAGGAAACCTAAAATAGGTGAAGCAAGGAAAAAAAGGAGACCATATCTGAATAACAGCCAGTGAAAAACAAGGCTGGAGGCATGGATCGCGTTTTTGCTCCAGCCTAGCAAGTATGAGGCACTTAGTTCCAATTCCCATCACACTGTCCTCTTTTAAATTTCAGAACAAAAATTTCCAATTGCTGCACTCATAACTGCAGAGGAACTCTCAGCCTTCTGGTACTGTCGATGGTGTTTAAATTGTTCTGTGATCTGCAGGGTGTTTTCCTGCCTTTAATTTTGTGAGAATCTGCCTCCTGAAAAATTAAATGGTGCCACAAAAGCAAGGGAAAAAGTGAGCATGCTTAATTGAAGTGAGAAAGTGGGAAACTTTTTAGAATGATTGAAAGATGGCGAAAGGTGGGTGGTGTTATGGGAATAAGGAATCAAGTACCCACATAATCCAGTATTAAACCCTGCATCCTGAGCACGTGTGGTTTTCCCTCAGTGGTAGTCTCCCTAGAACTGTACACCCAAGGAAACCAGGGATCTGCTGCACTTGCTTTTGCCGAGTTAATGGCTCAGGTTACAATTTCTCAGGCATTTTCTTCCTGAGTGGCTGTAACTTTTCACTCTTATCATACCCAGGACAAAGCAATGAGGAGCTTCTCCGTCTTAACACCACCACCATACACAAAGAGCCAACAGGACACCAGTCAGTAGATCTCTCTTTTTTTTTATTAACATGTCTGCTGAGGATATAAAATATAATAAGTTATATATACAGCATTTGATTAAAAAATATCCACAATTAAGACTTCACTGGCTAAGGGCCACAACTTAGCTGAGCGAGGGGGCTTACTAAATGTTTTTTAAGTATTGCAAAATAAAAACTGTCTCCAGACAACATGGGAGTCTCAGCTTTGGTCAAGGAAACTCATCATGGGCTCATTGATTTTGAATCCCATTAACATAGGCAAAAGCTCTTTGAAGTTAACTCTTGGGTTTATTTCCACATAAGCTAAGAGAAGGTATAACTATAAGGACTAGTTCCCAAAGCATGTCAGGCTGGAAGCTGACAGAACAGGATCTGATGTGGGCTTCCTTCTGGCTCTGGGCTCTAATAGGGTGGAATAAAGTCAATTTCTTATCAACTGAGCACAGCTGTCCTTCCCTCACTGCAAACATCCCCAGAAAGAGGTGCAAGATGTTATCTTGGAGCTGTTCATTCATCACATGTGGCCTTTTCACTCTAATTAAGAGGAGATCCCCACTTAGGCTCAGGCCTCTAATGCCAGCTACTCAGAAGGCTGAAATCGGCAGACTGCGATTCAAAGTCAGCCTAGGCAGAAAAGTCTCTGAGACTCTTATCTTCAATCAACCAGACTACAGCAGAAGTGGAGGTGTGACTCAAGCAGCAGAGCACCATCCTTGAGCAAAAAAAGCCAAGTAAGAGTTTGAGACCCTGAGTTCCAGCCCCGGTAGCATGCGTGTGCACACACGCGCGCGCGCGCGCGCGCGCGCGCGCACACACACACACACACAAAAGACACACACACACAAAAGACACTCATCATTACTATTACAAAGCAGGAGGATAGGGGCATACTAAGAGTAGTTGAAAAGATAATTAAGCCTCACCTCAGAGTATTTAGTTTGCAAGATGTACCAAATAGGTTCTGGAAAAACAGCAGCAACAGACACAATAAATGATGGCATTAAACATTTAGACCTAATTATGGTCCTCTCACAGTATGTTTTACATTCAGTGATGGGAAATTGCTTGTTGGCTTTCAACATATAACTAGTTTCTCCTCCCCAAAGCATTCCTTCAGTCTCATGGCTTATAATTTAAAAACTATCACTTTCACCCTGCATGAGCGGCTCACACAATCCTAGATTGTGATTTGAAGCCAGCTTGGGCAGGAAAGTCTGTAATGTTCTTGTCTCCAATGAATCAGTAAAATGCCAGAAGTGGAGGTATGGCTCAAGTGACTGAGCACTAATCTTGAGCAGAAAAGCTAAGGGACAATATTTAGGCCCTGAGTTCAAGCCCCACTACTGGCACAGAAAAACAAAACAAAACAAACAAACAAAACAACCATATAAAGACAGCACTTTCTAAGTCAGAGGCTTTGTTTTACTTTGGGAACCACCCCAGTCAGCCCTGTCCAGAGGTAGCACAGCACATAGCTCGGCATTCATCCTTGGAGCAATCACTGCTTCTGGCTCCACAGCCCTCGGCAGTTACAAGAATGATGAGAACAATGCCAGTTTGCTAACTTGATACATGTTACATCACACAACGGCCAACTCTGACCTCTTCTGATTTGTTTTCACATTTTGTGTGACAGCCTGTGCTATGTTCATCCATGGAGGCCTCCAAGGCCCAGCCTGCCCTGTGGCTCAGCTTTCTTCTTGCTCAGTTAAGGCTTCAGCCTTACTTCCCTGATTACAGTATCACAGATAAACCTCTGGTTTCTAGAAGTGAAACTTAGGCCAACGAAGGAGAAGAAAGTGACCCAAGGTGACCAGTTAGGGCCCAACACTGAGGGCCAGGCTGTGTAGTGTCCCAATGGCTCCACTGTTCCTGATTGGCTCAGAAGCCTGCATCTGAGACTCTCAACTCATGAGCCTCGTGAACACGTCAGTCACTCTTGAAACCTAGACGTACAAATGGTTGAATGCGTAGGAAATCTTCATTTCCCTTCCTAAGCAGAGCTGACCACATGTGCCTGTTTAAACAGCTTAACACATTGTAACTTGACCTGCTGTGTCCTTGACCATGGCTGCTCCTGGAGGTGAGCTCTGCCTTGGACAAGAGTAGGAGGCCATGTAGTTCAGACCTCTGGATCCCAGAAGACATACAGTGTGTCAATAGAATTGGCATGTGTGCCCAGCTGGACAGACATACGCCTTATAAGTTGGTTTCAGAGCAGAACACAGATGACAGGTTTCTACCATTGACTGAAAGCCACGCAGGAACATGAATGACCTCAAGAGCAGGTCCAGTTAGCCCAACACCACCACAAGGGTTTACAATGGACTACAGATCTTCAAACAGCACACAGAGGAGGGGGTCTGCGACCTTGTACTCATTGCATCGAAACATTTGAGATATTTCCTTCACAAGGATTTCCTCCTCCATCAACTCCATGAGAAGTCCTCCCCTCCTCTGAGGACTTTTATTACGGTTGGCTAGCACCTTTCATTCAGCTTGTCTGATAACTTCTGATGAAACGGTCTATAACACATCTTCTGTCTCCCACTGAGTACAAGCTCCTTAACAAAAAAGACCCGATTCTTCACTGCTGTCATCCCAAGTGGTCTGGTTCACTTGGTTGCCCAACAGGGTCTCTTGAATGAATTTACAGTGACCTGGTAGACTGGCTAGAGCAATGAATAAATATTCATTCTTCCTGGCAGGAAGCAGGCAACATCCCAGCTTTTAATCAGTGATCTTAGGTTAGGCTGAAAGACAGGCTTCCTTTTCTCTGGCTCCTTGGAGCAGCGTAAGGCATATGGTAATCCATCAGGAAACAAAACGCTTGGGTTTGGGAGGTCTGATGGCACCACCCCGGCTGCGGAGGTCTGGTTGGCTCTCCAGCTCATCTCAGGGAGATGGGTCACCCTCCTCAGGATGCGGCGGGGGGCGGGGACACAGGGGGCACAACCCCTGCCCACTCTAGGATGTCCGCACAAAGTGACTCCACTGCGTCCAGCCGCTCGATCTGCACCAGCTTTGTGAGCAGCTCTGGGATGCTGTAGCCCGCAGTGCTGATGCGGTCAAAGAGCTGCATGCCATCTGTCATGCCCCCAATCTCATCCCTCTTCAGTCCGAAGCTCTCGGCCAGGTGGCGCCATGTTTTCACTATAGCCTTCTCAGAGTTGTACGTGGAGCTCAGCATGCGGCTTGTCTTCTCCAGGCAATCAAAGGGGAGCTCTGTGGGGCTGAGACCTAGGGGGACAACATTTATAGTCACAAATGGCAGTAAACAGGAGTTCAATACCACTAAGAACGAAATTCTACCAAATGCTTACATAAGAACGCCAATTCCACACTATTCCAGAAAAATAAAGAAAATGAAAGAAAGAAATATTTACCAGCTTGATACCTAAATTAGACCAAGATACCACAAACATATATATATATATATATATATATATATATATATATATATATATGTATATGTATATGTATGAACGTATGTATATATATGTGTATATATATATATATGTATGTATGTACTGGGGTTTGAACTCAGGGACTCCTGCTCTTGCTTAGCTTTTCCAGTGACAGCTGATGCTCTAACATTTGACTTTACTTCCAACACTTTGCTGGTTAATTGGACATAAGTCTCTTGAATTTATTTGCTCAGGGCTGGCTTTGAGCCACAATCCTCAGAGTTTAGCTTCCTGAGTAGCTGTGATTATAGGTGTGAGCCACTGATGTCTAGAACAATATTTTTCAAGTGATGGTGTGCTACTAATAATAGAAAAAAGCCCAGGGAGAGCTCAAGGCCCTGACTTCAATTCCCAGTAAGGCAAGCAAGCAAGTAAGAAAGAAAGAAAAAAAAGAAAGGAAGGTAGGATGGAAGGAAAGAAGGAAAAAGCAAGAGGCAAAAATAGTAGTCACACCAAATGCTGGTGAGAATGTGGAGAAACTGAGCTATTCATACATTACTAGTGGGATATAATAACATGGTGCAGCCACTTTGGAACAGTTTGGCTAGTTTTAAAAACAAAATATACAACTAGCATGCAGCCCCACAATTGCACTCCTGAGCATTTATCTCAGAGAAACAATGATCTATGTTCATATAGAAACATGCCCTGGAATGTTTATAGCATTTATATATGGACCCTGGCTAGAAACAACCCAGTTACCCATCAACAAAGAAAGGGTTAACAGCCCTGGCCTGTTCTTACCAGGGGACACTACTCAGAAACAGAAGGGATGAATTGACACATGCAACAACCTGGAGAATCCCCAGTGATTTTGATTTATAAGAAAAGCCAAACAAAAAGACTACATGCTATATGATTACATTTTTCCTTCTTCCTTCATTTCTCTCCTCTTTCCCTCTCATTATTTCTGTCCCTTCCTCTCTCCCTCTGTTCCTCCCTCATTTCCTTCCTTCCTTCCTTCCTTCCTTCCTTCCTTCCTTCCTTCCTTCCTTCCTTCCTTCCTTCCTTCCTTCCTTCCTTCCTCCCTCCCTCCCTCCCTTCCTCCCTCCCTCCCTTCCTCCCTTTCTCCCTGCTCCTCTCTTTCTTTAATGCTGGTACTGGGGCTGGAACTCGGCTTCAAGTTCTCACTTGGCTGTTTCACTCAAGGCTGGTGCTCTACCACTTGAGGCACATCTTTACTTTCAGCTGTCTTCTAGATAATTAGAGGTGAGAGTCTGAATGATTTTTCTGCTTGGGTTGGCTTTGAACTGTGATCCTCAGATCAAGTTTCCTGAGTAGCTAGGATTACAGATGTAAGCCACAGCGCTCAGCTTTGACTTTGATTCCACTTTTATAACATTCTTGAAGATCTGGAGAACAGATTGGTGGTTTCCAGGGTCTAAGGGGGTGGAATAACGTTGCTATAAAGGGGTAGTAGGAAGGTTCCCTGTTGTAACAGAAAGGTATAGCCACATGCTGCCTTTATCCCCATCTCCCCTTTATTGGTATCAAAGTCATGGTTATGACTTTTATGTACAGTTTTGCATGACATTATTATTAGGAGAACCTGGATAAAGGACACACAGGATCCCATTATATTACCTCTTAACCATTGTATGGTAAGACTAATCCCACATAGCCACGTTTCAGTGGTTTACATTTGTTACCCTAGCTACTTACACAGGAGGCTGAAACATGGTTGCTCTTGGTTCAAAGCCAACCTGGACAGACTTCTAGCTCCAATTAACCAGCAAAGTGCCAAACTGGAGGCATGGCTCAAGTGGTAGAGCACCAACTGTGAGCAAGAAAGCTGAGCAAGAGTATGAGGCTCTGAGTTCAAGCTCTTGTACTGGCATACAAATACAAAAAAAGAACCATTTCACAATAAAATTTTAACTCAGAAAACCCCAAAGAATGAAAAGATATGTCTGGGGCTCACCCTTATCAATAACATTAAGACCTTGTGGCAGATGGATTAGGTTGGGTAGACAGAGATGGTATTAGGATCTCCAGGGAGATCTTCTTGGTGCTAGGTTCTGCTGTTCTGAGACTCTCAGCCAAGGTTGTGATGGGATCATGATGGCGTATGAACTTGCCAAGAGCACAGGGCTTCATGATTTTACCCTTCCAGATGCATTGGAAGGTCCCCTCTGTGCTCAGAGTTCCTAAAACTAACTTTAATATCATTGCCCTAGAGTTATGGACTCTTAAAGCCAAGAAGACATTCTTTGGAGAATGAGCTTTTGGAGTGCTGGAATGCAAGCCTCAGACCAACCTTCACTGGGCAGACAATAGCTCCTACCATGCTAGGCTTGATCAGGCAGGCTGACCAGGTAGGTATTTATGGAGAGATGCCAAACATCAGTTGGCAATCAAGAAGAATGTTTTGGCCCTGAAACTCAGGCTCAGCGGTTTTATTCTGGCCAACAGAGCATTCAGCCAGCCTGCTCAGGCTTGGTGGGCTGCAGCCAGCTCATGTGGGCCACGAGCCGTGGAATGTGCACCCAGCTTCATCCCTCCAGCTTGGCCAGACTGGGGAATGTGTGGAAGAATGCCAGGAAGCAGAAGCAGGAAAATCCTTACCTCAGCAATGAGGAGTTTAGCTTCAAGGTGAATAGGAGGTAATTTAGGGACTGGATTTTGCAGCAATTGGGATATCTGTGGATTAGGATTTCAGAAGGAAAGGTTTATCTTCCTAATCCTGTTGCTTCTTACCAGCTTGTACCAGATCTGGCTTGGTTTTCTGTGAGGCAGTCTGACTTTGCTGCTCAGGTGGCAGCTTTGGCAGGAGATAGGAAGTCTGTTAAGGCTAGCTGGTATCCTGTGTGATGCTCAGGATGGGAAAGAGAGACTTCTAGATACAGCCATGTGTGCATGATGACCTTTCTGTCTATGACAGGGTAAAAATACAACAGTGTTCCCCTAAGATTAAATTGCCAGGTGACAGCGTAGCCATTCTGGCTTGTGCAAATCACTAAGATGTTCACATAAAAACAAAATCATTTCACTTGACTGGAGGTGTGGCTCAAGGGGTAGAACACTTGTTTATAAATTCAAAGCCCCGAGTGAAAACAAAAAAAGAAAGCATAACTGCAATTTTGTCAGAACACGTTTCCATTATTAATTGGCTTTGATTATACTGGATTAATGTCAGGTATTTGCCATCAGATATTGCCCTGACAACATGCCTGGATACAGGCACTGATATTATGTGGCTCTACCACCGCATTCCTGACCTCACTTGGCACTGCCATCTCCTGTCCTGTAAGGGAAAGGGCAGCAGGGAATGCCAGGAGAGAGGCCTTAGCTGTTGCAATCATATTCCCTTTCCTTCCAAATTGGAAGTGGTGTCAGGCTGCAGGTCTGAAAGAAGGAGTGACCAGTGTCGTGGGCTAGTTCCCTCCATTTCCCACACAGGAGCAGACAAGCTTCCCAGGGTTGACACTGGGCAAGCCCCGGGATGGCTGCAAGGAAGTGTACCCTCAGAGACACAGCCACGCTCACCTTCAACAACACCACACACATTGGCATACACGTCCAATATCTTCTTCCTTCGGCTTTGGATCTAGAAAACAAAACGTGTTCAGAGGTTAATCCTCAGAAAGGGAGAATGGCAGTAGACATTTGAATGTGCAGGACTGTCAGCTACAGGCTTTACCCTGATAGCTCAAGGATGCTTCAGGAGGTCCCCCAGAGGGAGCGCAGCCCAGTACAGCAGGGGAAAGTGGTTCCTTCATGTGAACATCTGTGGTGCACACTAGAACTGCTCCTTGGACTCAATTGGACAGCCAAGGCCACATCTGGCATCAATGTGTTTGGAAGGATGGTGGTAGAGTCCTCAGTTGACTAGCAAACCATCCATGCATGCAACAGCTAGCAGATCCATGGGGCTTTCTCCTCCCAGGGCCAGACAGCTTTCTGCAGGGACAGGTGCTGAGTGGCCTTGGGTGAAAAGTCCCATGCCAGCAGCACTCACAGCTCTTGTAACAAAGCCCACTACAAATGGTGGTGCATCCCTGCCCCCATTTTTTTTGCCAGTCCTGGGGCTTGAACTTAAGGTCTTAGTACTGTCTCTGAGCTTCTTTTGCTCAAGGCTAGCACTTTATCATTTGAGCCACAGCACCACTTCTGGCTTTTTCTGTTTATGTGGTACTGAGGAATCAAACCCAGGGCTTCATGCATGCTAGGCAAGCATTCTACCACTAAGCTACATTCCCAGCCCATGGTGGTCCTTTTTATTTTCATTTTGGGTCTGAAACTAGGACTCAGAGTTGGTATTGATACTTTTGTTCATTGGCTAGCTCTCTACCAATGGTGCCATGCCTCCAACTCCTAAGCGTTAGCCCTTTTTAGAGACATCATGGAACTCAAAGCATCCCAGAGCACCATGTCCCAGCAGAACCAGGGTTGTCTCAGGATCCCGACTGGGCATTTTTGTTTTCCATTATATTGCTGCCCCATGGTTTGGCTGGCCTGTAGGGATGGCCCAGGCTGAGGAAGGAGAGTGAACATACACCAGAGCCTTATGCCCACATCTGGGGTCATAGAGACTCCAGGGTGGCCTGCTTTGGACAACTGTACGTGTGATCTTATTTCTGTATAAATGATGCATACAGAAATGTGTGTGTGTGTGTGTGTGTGTGTGTGTGTGTGTGTGTGTATACATACATGAAATCATTTGTTTGGGGACTGGTCTCAGAACTGTGAGTATACCGAAATCTGCAGATTTTTCAGTCCCTTGTATAAAATGCATATTTTCCACTATACAAGCCATCTCCAGATTACTTTCTTTTTGTTGGTTGTGGGGCTTGAACTCTGGGTCTGGGCACTGTCCCTGAGCTCTTCAGCTCAAGGCTAGTGCTCTACCACTTGAGCCACAGCACCACTTTCAGTTTTCTGGTGGTTTATTGGAGGCAAGAGTCTTATGGACTTTCTTCCCCGGGCTGGCTTTGAACCGCAACCCTCAGTTCTCAGTCTCCTGAGTAGGAGGATTACAGGCGTGAGCCACCAGCGCCGGGCTCCAGATTACTTCTAATCCTAATATAATGTAAATGCTCTGTAATTATTATACTTCATTGATTAGGAAATAATGACAAGAAGAAAAGTATATATTTAGTAAATTCAATTTTTTTGTTATTATTTTCTCTCCATGGTTGGTTGAATCCCTGAATTTGAAACCTACAGATACTTATATGTTTGTACTTAGAAAGTTGGTTGGATATCAACCAATGTGTTTCTAAAGGTTTCTTCTTTTATTATTTTATTGAATTTCAAGTATTTTTAACTTCTTCCTTTTTGCTTATGAGATTTCCAATTCTTCTATAAAGTAATACAACAAAAGAGTCTTTTTTTTTTTCTGTCTGTTGACCTGTCACCATGTCCCATGTCCTAGTGGGGACTCATGGGAGAAATTCCCTGTTTTACAGGAGCTCATTCAACACAGGGGTCTTGTCTGGGGCTGGGAGTCACTGCACTGGTACACTGTGGGCCTTAGTACGTTGCCATGTGTGCAAGAGCCTCACCCCAGCCGATTTGTTGCTGGTGACAGACTTCTCCCTGGCCAGGTGCACGAGTGACAGCAGACACAGCTCTGGAGACCCCTGTTTATCAGGGGCTGGCTCCTCATCGCTGTCCACACTGCGGCTCAGTAGCTGCTCATTCTCAGAGGAGGCGTCGTTCTCACTGCAGAAACACAAGGTACACCTGTTAGTGGCAGCACTGACAACCTCTCTATGGGGAGGGGGGAGGGGGGATGGTGGTGGTGGGGTAATCTTGCCACCCAAGCACAGACAATGGAGGGCGGTGACTTGTGCACCTTGAAGGCTCTAGGTGGGAGGACTTGAATTAAAAAGGACATATCCCTGCTCCCTGCTCTTTTCCAAACCTGCAGCTCTAGTATGGGAGTGACTGGGGTGAGTGCAGGTTTGGGGTTCACCAGGTACACGGGAATTTGGAAAAGTTAGGGCCACCACTGAGAACAGCATGGGTGAATCTCTTCACAGTGTCTGGCGCTTCCTGGATGTGCAGAATGGAATGTTCTAGATTCCTGTATTTAGTCCCAGAAAGTGAGCCAATCTTGTGTCTTCATGTTAAGCCAGGATGATATGGCTGGATCTGTGCAGGTTTCACTAAAACGATGGAAAATGAACTAAGCAGAGCCTTGGGCCTGGGGAGCGCCTTCTCAGCCAGTGGGGTGGCAGGGCTGGCTGTGGCTCCGGAGGGTGGGCAGGGTCACACACAGCTTGGGTGTCTATCTACTGCTCACGGCCCAGGTCACACAGGACCGGTGCTAGCTGGCCCCAACACCTGTGGCTTGGAGCCTAAACTCTTACACCATTCCAAATATACAAAAAACAACATTCTTTTTGATAAGCATTCTGCTTACTTCCTGTGGTTTGGCTAAAGACCTTAAAAGAAAGGATTATATTTGCCAGTAACCACGTTACAGCCATGAAGATTTTATGCAAACGCAGCAGGATAATACAAAGAACATAAAGTCACACTGAAGTCCCCAGCAGAGCACCTCCTCACTGGGCTGCAGGGCCTCACATTGAGTCTTCTAGCCAATCCCTGGGCCTCATCTACCGCAGGCCAGAGAGGCAGCACGCGGTCCCCACATACCATCCTGTGGCCCCCACATCTGTGTCCCTAAGACCCGACAGCTATGGATGGAAACAAAAGCTCAGCACAGTGGTGCACACCCGAAATCCTAGCTACTCATTTGAGAATCATGGTTCCCAGGCAGCCCAGGCAGGATAGCTTGTGAGACTTTTATCTCCAATTAATCACCCAAAAGCCAGACAAGGAAGGTGGCTTCCTAGGACTGGCAAAAACAGAAAGAAAGGAAGAGAGAGAAAAAAAGAGAGAGAGAGAGAAAGAGAGAGAGGGGAGGAAGGAAGGAAGGAAGGAAGGAAGGAAGGAAGGAAGGAAGGAAGGAAGGAAGAAAGGAAGGAAGGAAGGAAGACAGGCAGGCAGGCATGCAGGGAAGGCAGGAAGGCAGGAAGGAAGGAAAGAAAGAGAAAGAGAGAAAGGAGGGGGGAGGGAGGGAAGAAGGAAGGAAGGAAGGAAGGAAAGGAAGACAGACAGAGAAAGAAAGAAAGGAAGAAAGAAAGAGAAAGAAAGAAAGAAAGAAAGAAAGGCAGGCAGGTAGGCAGACAGGAAGGAAGGGAGGGAGGGAAGGAGGGAAGGAATGAGCTCAAGTCTTTGTTGCCTTTAAAGCCTCAATGTCAGTTTTAATTTTTAATTAACATTTATATACAAAGTTAGTATTAATCTTTTCCAAGCACAGTCCTGCAATTTTCTACTATTCTTAGGTGAAACTTAAGCCATGAGGTACATTCCTGCCCTTTAGCTACTCCAATTTTTCTAGTTTTATAATTGAAAAATGCTGGAAAAAGAGAGCTGAGACAGAATTGGATTATACTGACTGATGGCTACAGAAACAGGTTTTTGTTGTTTTGTGTGTGTGTGTGTGTGTGGCTGGTACTCAGGCTTGAACTATGGGTCTAGGTGTTATCCCTTTGTCTTAGCTGCTCAAGACTGGTGTTCTACCACTTAAGCCATACCTCCACTTCTGGCTTTTTGCTGGTTAATTTAAAGACTTTACTGCTTGGGCTGGCTTCAAACCATGATCTTCAGATCTCAGGCTCCTGAGTAGCTGGGACTACAGGCATGAGCCGTGGCAGCTAGCTGGAGTAACAGTTTTGTGTCCATCTCCAGCAAGTCTCTTTGGGAGTCAACTCCACAAGTACACCTTGAGTCTAGCATTATCCTAGTGGCACCATGCTCCTGGCACATGGCTCACGGGGCTCAGACCACAAATCCCCTGGGCTGAAAATGGCCAATCAGAATTGAGGCACTTACAGAAACCATCTCCTCCCCAAGAAACAGACTAGCTTAACACACAATATCTGCTTCTCTTGCCTAGTGATGTTGGGATTTCTGTTTGCCTCCTGTTCTGATGTGGGAAGTGTTGAGAGATGCTAGAAATTTCCAAATGAGAATGCACTGGTCTTTGCTCTCAATGGGAAAACACTGTAGAGACACTTGGATTCATTATTGCTAAGGAGGGAAGGTCTGCAAGAGTCCATGCACCATGGAGACAGAATTCCAGGTTGGAATTAGAAGAGGTTGAATGCCCTGATCTTCCATGGTTGGCTCAGCAATGTGCTCAAAATGTCTACCCACTGCAAAAGGAGGTGTTGGGTAGACTGAGTCCCTTTCCCAGGCAGGGCCTGGTAGGGAGGGCTCTCACTGTGACTTGCTGGGACTGAGGTCTTGGCATTGATTTTTGGGACTTAAACAGCATCTAGTCCAAATAACCATTCAATGTAGAGAATGAGAATTTACTTCCTCCCTCACTTTTAAGGTAGGGGCTGATTCCACAGCTTCATGTGTGGTAAATATGGTGAAACTTCATAGATGAAACCTCTTCCTCTGGAGACTTACTGCACTAAGATTAAATGGATCATATGAAGTTGGATTCAGATGCCAGCTCACACAATGGCTCAGTTACAACTTCCAAACCCTGGAAGCAGGGATGGTGCCAGCATGTGCTACTCTTAGTCTGTAGCAGAAGAACACTATGACAGAGTGGGCACACCTGGCAGGCAACAAGTCCTGAGTATTATTAGCTGTCATCACCATCATTATCGCACAATAGCAATGCCAGTACTGGCTCTTGATGCTGCCTTTAGCATTGCTGGCAACTGGGGGAACCTAAGTCAGGGTTTGATTTATGTCACAGATGCCTCTCACAGCATGGAGAAAGGATCCAAAAGCAAAGGTCAAAGGAAGTTGGGAGGTCTTAGAGGGAGGGCTTGACTGGGAGCAGCAGGCAGGTATTATACCTGCTCCTCATGTAGCAGCCCAAGCTTACCTAGATTGTACCCCTCTGTCAGGGAGTGCCAGCCAGGCATCAGCAACTCTGAACACTTACTGTCATGGTACCATGAGGCTAAAGGTTAAAGGTTGCTTTACCTAAGTGTGAGACCCTGCCTGGCTCTACATACCTCTTAGTGGTCTTGGCTGGTGTTGCTGTCAGCTTCTCAAATTCATCCTTCTCAGAGAAAATCACCACACTGTCTGTAGGGAGACAGGAAGTGGGGAAGGGAAGAGTTAACAGTGGCAAAGCTTTGAGCTTGGCCTCCTCTTGCCTGATTACCACAGTTCTGCTCAAGAACCAGCACATGATGGTGCACTGTCTCTCATGAGAGGAGAGATGGACATGAGCCATAGGGCTGTATGTGGGATAAGTATGCAGACCTGGAGCTTCCTTCTTCTCTTCGTCCTTGCCCACTGGGACCTCCACACTCTTCCCTGGAGGGCTGGTACAGCAGGCTGGTTAGAGAGAAAAGGAGAGAGGGAGTGAGCAGCTAGGATCTCCCACTGGTAAAGAATGGGAGATAAAGGGTAAGGTATAGAGCTGTCACCTGGGGCAGAAGGCTTTGTCTTCATGATGTAGAACATGATGATGAGGACAATGGCGATGGCCATGATGAAGATGGTAGACATGGCAATAATTAGGGCGGTGGCCAGGTGTCCTTGGCCGGAGAGCTCTGCTGACATCAGAGGAAAGTGACATGAATGCCCCTGTAGGTCTCTCCTTTGGGTTCATGACCCCTGAGAGAATGGCCTCACCATGGGGACATGCTCAGGGGGCCTTGCTCAAGAGTCCAGCTCTCAGAGCATGCTTTGGCTGCTAGGTCAGAACTAGCTATCAGCCCCTCTCCCTGCTCACTAGCAGGAAGCCCAGCATGTGGGTTCTCCTGGTTATTCCTGGCTGCTGGTTTCTTGGACTGGGAGCCCAAGATGAGGATGGGGAAAGAGAAACCTCACGAACAGAGTGCTGTGAGGAAGCACAGCTCAAGAATTGGACATTTCCAGGGCTGGGAAGGTGGCTCAGTGGTAGAACGCCTGCCTTGCATGCATGAGGCCCTGGGTTCGATTCCTCAGCACCACATACGGAGAAAAAGACAGAAGTGGCGCTGTGGTTCAAGTGGTAGAGCACTAGCCTTGAGCTGAAGAGCTGAAGGACAGCGCCCAGGCCCAGAGTTCAGGCCCCACGACCGGACCCCCTCAAAAAAAGAGCATCAAGGCTGGGTACTGGTGGCTCATGTTTGTAATTCTAGCTATGCAGGAGGCTAAGATCTGAGAATTGTGATTTGAAGCCAGCCTGGACAGGAAAGTCTGTGAGACTCCAATTAACTACCAAGAAGCCAGAATTGGAGCTATGACTCAAGTAGGAAGAGTGCTAGCCTGGAATGAAAAAGCTAAGGGACAGTGCATAGGCCCTGAGTTTAATCCCCAGTACCAATACCAAAAGAAAAGAAAAGAGCATTAATGTATGACATGAAGGTGCATAGGTTTACATGAAAGCCAACAATCTCATTGCCCCTGACTTCTGGCTGAATTAAGGTACAGGAAGTATCCGTCCTCATCCTGCTCCAGGCGCTTTGAGCATACCACAGGCTGCCCTGCCAAGTGCCTTTATTTCTAGCGTCTTCTAATGGGTCCAGGATACCCATGGAGCATCAATTCCAATTCTTGCAGAGATAATTACTGACTTCCAATAACTCGGGCTCCAACTGTGATTCAATCACATTAGGGAAGTATCTGCAGGTGGGGAAGAGCATGCTGGCACCATCATTACTAACAGGCTTTCCCTCTTCCTTTTAACCTTTGCCGAGCCTCTGGAATCCAGAATCACACCTAGGTGTCCTCCTTACCTTTATGGGCATGCTGGAAAGGGGACAGGGTGCTGCCTCCAGAGGTGCTGGGGGAGTTGGCAGAGGCCCCTGAGGTGGCTCCTATGCCTGCAAGGAAAACACAATCACCATAAGTGATCTGGGGAAATACTACCTTCAAGGGTTGCACAATAAGACACAGTAATGAGGAGGATTTATCTGGAATTCTATCTTGTGACTGGCTGTGGGGAGTAGGAATGAGGAGGAAATATTTGTATTTCTTAGCACATTGAATTATCCCTAACTGCTTCTATTCTGACCTCTTGGGATTCTTGGTCTCTAAATAAAAAGATACGTGTGACACCCATGCTAAGAGGAAATAGTGAATGCTGGTGGTTTGCAGGCTCACCTACTTTGTCTTCCTGGGGAAAGTGTACGATCTATCAGGATGAGAGTGGCTGTCTGGGAAGGTATTATTAGTGCTTGATTAATTTTTTCAATTACAAATAACAGTGTTCTTAATACCTTTTCTAGCTCTAAAAGTAATATATAGTCATTATTAAAATCTGGGGAAAAATAAAGAGCATAAGAAAGAAATGAAAAAAAAATCACCTGAGCCTCATTGTCTGACATTAGTTTAGGTATAATTTCCCTCTAGAATTTTTACTAAGGCCTTTCTGTTTTCATGCATGTGCACGCACACACACACACACACACACACACACACACGTGTGTGTGTGTGTGTATGTGTGTGCATGCTAGGGATCAAACCCAGAGCGTTAGATATTATTATTTTTTTCTCCTCCTCCTCCTCCTCCTTCTCCTCCTCCTCTTCGTTCTTCTTCTTCTTCTCTTCTCCTCTTTTCCTTCTTCTTCTTCTTCTTCATATTTTTTAGTGGTCTTAAGGTCTGACCTCAAGACCCCATGCTTGCTAAGCAGGTGCTCTACCACTTGTGCTATGCCATCAGTCCCTTTTTGTGTTGGTTAGATTTGAGATAGGGTCTCACTTTATACTCAGGCCTGGGCTGTGATCTTCCTATTGGCACTCTGCTTTGTCACTGGGGGTAACAGGTTCACGGCACTGTGTGAAGCCATTGTGCTTTTCCCATGGTTGGGATGATAAGTGCATGCCACCATACAAGCCATTGGTGGAGATGGAGTCTTATGAACTGTTATGCCTAAACTGCCCTTGCACCAAGATCCTCTGATCTCCATCTCCAAATTCACTAGGATTATTGGCCTGAGCCTATGATCTGAGTGTAGTGGCACTCAGCCCAATTTTCCACTCCTTTTTTTTGTCTCTACCAGTTCTGGAGAGGTTTGTGAAGTGGATCTGTACTTTGTGAGTCCAGAAAGGACATCCTGCCTCTCTGTAGTCAGTACCCTAGGCCCTTTTGTTCTAGCTCAGTCCTGCCAAGAGGAATGACATGAGGTTGTACATAGATCAGGTCATACTGCTTCAAGGCTTCCGTGAAAACAAACTTTCCTAGCAGGGCCATTTTCTTTAAAAGAAGGTTTCGGAAGAAGCATGGGCCTGCTGTATGCATGGTACTGGGACAGCCCAGAAGCAGGGGCTAGTGCAAGCTGGGAGTGGATTGCTGAGAGTTATCCTCAAGCATCCACACAAAGTGGAGAGAGGGCTCTGACCCTACTCAGTCTTCACACCTTGTTAGAAAAATAGAGAGCTTGGAAATAAAATAGGGTGGAGATGTGAGAGAAAGCCAGCAAGCTGAAGGCAAACTTGAGCTGTAGTCAGTGCTCTGGATGATTAGAGACTGGTCTCTTATGTGGACAGAAATTGAACTATGGGCACCCCTCATCTGAGCCAGGAGAAATGGCACCTGTTCACGGAGGCCAAGATGTTTCCTTGTCTTTCTCAAGGAAAACTGGAAGTTCTTTTTCTGTTTGCTAACCTCTAAGCTTAAGGTCTGCTTTTTTATTATTTTATTTTATTGTTTTTGTGTGCCAGTACTGGGATTTGAACTCAAAGTCTAGAGACTCTACCACTTGAGCCACAGTTCCACCTCCAGCTTTTTGGTGGTTAGAGGTAACTGTCTCATGGAACTATCTCAGGATGGTTTTCAATCCAGATCCTCAGATCTTAGCCTCCTGAGTAGCTAGGATTATAGGTGTGAGCCACCTGCACCTGACTAAGGTCTGATTTTGAAATTAAGCCTCCATACTTGGCCCAGAACCAGTGTCATGATAGGGAAGGAGCTGGTGGAAGGGGTGCTGCAGCCAGGTGCACCCATCAAATGGGAGAAATTCTGCTCACAGATCCTGCTGAGGCCTTTTGCAGATATTTAGTGTTTAGCCTGTTTAAGGTTGTTAACTCTAGCTGCAGATATGACTGGCTGCAGGTCCTGCCACTTGCATTACACTGGGAAACAACTTACAAGTATCCTCAGATCAGGGAGAAAGGGAAGCATTGTGGCTCCTGTTCAAGCAGAGCCTACTTTCCTTTTCGAAACAGCAACAACAACTTTCGAACAGCAACAAAAACAACATCAAAAGACAAGTTGGGCACCTATGGCACATGCCTGTAATCCTAGCTGAGGCTGTAATTTCAGCCTCTCAGGAGGCTAAGGTCTGAAGATCGAGCTTCAAATCCAGCTTGAGCAGAAGAATCCAAATGTCCTCTTTCCAGTTAACCAGCAAACACACACACACACACACACACACACACACACACACACACACACACACAACACACACACAGAACATATAGGATATTAAAATAAAGCTAAAATGTCTGCTTAGAAGGTGTTTGAGGGAGCTTAGGATGTGTTGGCAGAGAAAAAAATGCAGCTATGGGCGGTGTGTATGGATGTCAGTTCCCTTGTTTCTTCTTGTCCCTTCCTGCTGGGGCTTGCAGGCTGAAGCAATGACCAGGCTGGGGACAGGGACATAAATATGCCCAGGCCTGTTGTCTAGTGAGGAACAATGAAAACACCCTCGCCAGCACAGACTTACGAAATGCCTCTGCCCCCTGGTAGAGGCCAGCTTGTTGCCAGTGTGCAGGTGCTGCTTGTTAAGGGACATCTTCCAGCCCCTCGGGCACTGCCTGCCTGGCCAGCCATACTTCTGTCTGAAGCACTGGATATTGACCTAAACTGAATCCCAGCTGGAGTAGACTGAGCTTCTAGATTGCACGGACCAGCCAGGAGGCGGCTGGAGCTCCCTTGTCAAACATACTCTGGCTCTGGGCACATCTGAGCAGGAGTATGGTAGGTGCCACAAGCTTGGGTCAACACTGCTGTTTGTCTTGAGCTCAGTGTGTCCATGCTGGGACTGGAGCTGGCTGCCCGTATCTACCCCTCAGTTAAACCCCACAGGGAGTACCCACTGGGTCCTGATGGTCCCCATCCCATCCTTTCCACTGGTGGCCTCAGGGCTCCTAGACAGTGTGCTAGGAGGCTAGACTCTCCCCTCAGGGTTGCAGCAGCAGATGTGGAGTCCTATGATTTACACAGAAGGAGGAGCAGAATGGTGTGCGAATTCTAGCCACACACCCTCAGGCCCCGGTAGTGGGCCTCTCCTGGGGTTCGGAGCTAGGCAACAAGGGAGTGATGGTGCTCTTTCAGAGAAGGGAGAAAGGTGAAGAGACACAATGCAAATAAATGTACACGTGCACTAGAATGTTCTAGAGTGAGGGCTCTATTGCAGACAGGCAAAAGGAATATGCTCATACATACAAAGAAATGAACACTTTGAAAAAGAATAGAATCTGCTCTGAGTACAGTCATACTGTAAAATGACCTGCAACTATCTGGTCTGGTTTGTTCCCCAATTCAATAACCTGCATCTGCCAAACCAGAAAAAGTGTAAGAAGACCAGATGAGCCACCCACCCCCCCCCCCCCCAAATAAAAACCTGCCCTCCCTGTCCTGGGCTGCCAGGCTAACCTCCAGGGCTATGCATTCTGTCTCAAGTCTCTCACTTCAAGTCACGGCACCATCATTAGGCATATGAGCCCATTTCCAGGGACAACTTGTGAGTGGACTTGGCCCTAAGGGGTAGCACCAAGTATGGTTTGAGGGAAGCCAAGGGGTGTTGGCATCTGCGTGGTTGGCAAAGTCCTCAGAGCAAATACACACCTGCTCCTCATCAACTGCCCCAGAACGCCTGAAAAACATCCCAGAATTTCAAAAGTGTGCATGTTAATCTTAAGAATTTGTCCAAGAGGATAAGGCAAACCTCGGTCTAGGGAAACAGAGTAGGAAGGGAAAAAGAAGGCTAGATAGACTCTTCTTGCTCTTTCCTGTGTGAATGTCACCAGCTTCTAGCAAACAGATAAACCATTCATCCGCACATGCAGGGCTGGCAGGTGCCCAGTGCAGGTCCTCCAGGAGAGCGAGCGGCAAGCACACATGCTCTCTTGCACTAGCTTTTACTCTGGTCTGGTGATACTTAGCTTAGCACTTTCACAATGACCAGTGCCTGGACAGTCACTCCATTCAAAAGCCAGACTCATCACTCCAGGTCACGTGGCTTCATTGGAACAGGCTACTAAATGGTAATGTTTCTCCATGGGGGTTTCCTTGGGTGGTCCACTGTAGATCTCTGCTTTCATGTGGACTATGGCACGTGTGTGTGTGTGTGTGTGTGTGTGTGTGTGTGTGTGTGTGTGTGTGAGTGTGTGTGTTGGTACTGGGGTTTGAACTCATGACTCTGGCTTGACTTTTTTTACTAAAACCTGATGCTCTATCATTTGAACCACAGCTCTACTTCCAGATTTTGCTTGTTAATTGGAGATAAGAGATTTTCAGGGCGGGGGGGGGGGGGTGCCCATTTTTTTTTTTTTTTTTGCCTAGGCTGGCTTTGCATCCTGATCCTCAGATCTCAGACTCTTGTCTAGCTAGGATTACAAGCATGAGACACCACACCCTGCCAGATCCCGGCTTTGAATGAGTAAGTCAAGGTGTTTGACACCAATTGGGGAAAACTGTAGTACAAACAAGGTGCAGACTTCCACTCAGGGTTGAATATAATGCGCAAGACAGTGGAGTGGATGCACTTGGCTCACTGTGAGCACTTGGCAGCACCGAGGAAAGAGACAGGTGGATGCAGGTACTGTGCTCTCTCCTCGGGGCACTCCAGGATTGTGAACACAAGGCTTACTGGGGCTTATGTTCCCATTGAAAGCGATAATAGAATATCAGGGGTCTTTGAGGTTTGGTAAATCCATACAATTTATAAATATGCTAGCGTGTATTAGACTGGCAAGGGTTCTCTACAGCAGGTAAAAAGTTTGGATTTTTAAGACTGATTTGTTTATTGATTTTAGAGCTGTCTTGAGGGGGTGCCCTGTACTTACAGCATTTGCTAAGCAACTCTTGAGGCTGATCCTGGAAAATGGGTTGAGTCATAGGACCTGCACTAGCTGTTCAAAGTGGGGGCCACCAAGACTTGCTAGAAACACTTTCAGCCAACTCAGACATACAGCATCAGTAAGCCCCTCAATGAGCAAGATGCCCAGAACCTCCTCTTCTTTAACATTACAAAAGCAGATGGATGGACATTGGTGGCTCACGCTTATCATTCTAGCTATTCAGGAGGCTGAGATCTGACGATCGTGGTTTGAAGCCAGCGCAAGCAGGGAAGTCTGTGGGTACATATGGCTCTCCTCCTCACTTCATTGGGCCCCATCCATACCTGCTTATTGTTTAGTGCGATTGCCTTTCTGTTTTCCCCCCATTGAACTGTATCTTGTCTTTTTTGTTGTTGTTGTTGTTGATCATGGGGCCTGAACTCTGGACCTGGGCACTGTCCCTCAGCTCTTCAGCTCAAGGCTAGAGCTCTACCACTTGAGCCACAGCACCACTTCTGGCTTTTTTCTGCTTATGTGGTGCTGAGAAATGGAACCCGGGGCCTCGTGCATGCAAGGCAAGCACTCTACCACTGAGCCACCTTCCTAACCCTGTATCTTGTCTTTTGTTCTTAGAGTATCTTTAAATAGTTGTACAAAGGAGGTGCCATCTAACAAAACAGTTTATGACTACAGCCTCTTGATTAGTGTCAGCCCTTTTGTAATGCCAGTATTGGGGCTTGAACACAGGCTTGGGCACTGTGCTCTTTTATTCAAGGCTGGCAGTCTACCACTTGAGCCACAGCTCCACTTCTATCTTTTTGGTAATTCATTGGAGATAATAGTCTCACAGACTTTTCTGCCCAGGGTTGGCTTTGAACCACAATCCTTAGATTTCAGCTTCCTGAGTAGCTAGGATTATAGGCATAAGATCAGGGTAATGATCTCTTACAGGTGCTGGACCTAGCTTTTTTCTACACCCACTATAGTAAAAGACCACAGTGCAGGACAAATGGGGTTTTCTGATAGGGCAGAACACTCACATTCCTTGGTGTTGGGGGGCGCCAAGAGGCAGGAGTAGCAGACCATGCCGTAGATGTTCCTGGGTCTGTTTTCCAACATGTAGTAACTATTAGAGGCAAGGAAAGACAAAGTAGAGACAGGTGAGTGAGGTGGGCATGGTTAGGCCATGGTTAAAGCCAGGAATCAGAGTATGGTGGGAGTCGAGGCCCAGGGAGTACAACAGCATCGGTGCCCACTGAGTTCTCCTGGTGGTGTTCAGCTGGGCCAATTTTTTTTTCCAGTCATAGGGCTTGAACTCTGGGCCTGGGCACTGTCCCTGAACCCTTCAGCTCAAGGCTAGCGCTCTACCACTTGAGCCACAGCACTACTTTTGGCTTTTTCTGTTTATGTGGTGCTGAGGAATGGAACCCGGGGCCTCATGCCTGCGAAACAAGCACTCTACCACTGAGCCACCTTCCCAGTCCCAGCTGGGCCAGTTTTGTAAGAAGTACTTAAAAGCTACTTTTACGGCGAAGTGGAGACTCCTTACTTGGGCCCATGAATTAACTACAGGCAGGCTTCCCAGCCTACACTTTGTATCTGTGTCCTTTGCTCTGAGCCATTATTTCCTGCAGTCATTTGGCAACCATCTTGGAATCCAGAAAGGATGGGATAGGAAGCAAAGACCACTTACTAGATATCAAAAGCTAAGGGAGAGTGCCCAGGCCCTGAGTTTAAGCCCTAGTAACACACACAAACACACACACACACGCATGCATGCACACACACACGAACACATATGCACACACACGCATGCATGCACACACGCATGCATTCACACACACATGCACACATGCAGATGCTGCTGTTTCTAAACCCATCCTATGGCAACATTAGTGACCTTGGGTCCTGCCATCAGCAATCTGCCTGTGAGGCCCAGCCCTTGCAGGCCACTTCCTTCCAGAGGACCAGCCTCCCTCTGGCCCTGTCCTCTTCTCTAGCCTCTTTCCCTCAGCAGCTGTGGCTTCCACTTTGGCACATGCCATTTTCCATAAACAAACATTTAATGGTGATCATGAGCCATTTATCACATTGTGAGAAGTCGATTCAATGAACTGAGCGGGTGCCAACACTTTTCCTCATTACAATTCAAGGGATGAAAATCTCTCCCTGCTATTGGGCTTTTTCTGATTGGTTTCTAATCTCTTTCTTATTAGCTGTGCTCCATGAAGTCCTGACGATGGCTGTGGTTAACAGCAGCTCGATGCGGGAGGGCTGGGTGGGGGGAGGCTTTGGATTCCAGCCTTCCTGTGCTTGGACTATTCTCAGTAACATGATGGCTGTAATTGCCTGCTCTTCCTCAAAGCCTTTTATCCTCAGATCCTTGTGTATCTTGTAAACATTAATTAACCAGTTTCAAAACACCTCTCAGAAACCACAACAGCCAGTCTTACAGTTAAGCCTTCTAGAAATATCTTCTCTCAAACATACTCTTCTGCCCCTTCTGGAAGGTATCTTTTGTCTGTGGAGCAGACATGGGAACCAATGATGGATCTTCCCACCAGGGGGCGTGGGTCTGCTATTTGGCTCCATGAGCAGACAGTGACTCACTCCCCCATCCCAGTTTTTGTTTATTTGTTTGTTTGTTTGTTGCTGCTTGTGGGGCCTGAACTCTGGGCCTGGGCGCTGTCCCTCAGCTCTTCAGCTCAAGGCTAGCGTTCTACCACTTGAGCCACAGCGTCACTTCCGGCTCCCATCCCAGTTTTTTAGCATCTGAGTGCTACGAGCCCCTGCTCTTCTCACCAATCTGTCCACCTCCGTGGCATTCTTTCCCTCATCTCATCAGGCACTGGGTGCCCTTGAAGGAAGAGCTTGTTTACACTAGGTTCTTTGTACCTTGGGCTATATACTAGAAGGAAGATTCTAGCTAGATATTGATGGGTCAAATTAGTGAATGACACACTGCTTCTCCACAACAGTTCAATATGCCAAGATGGACAGAAGTCCCAAAGAGTTGTTTGTGATCTTTAAAAAGAACAGGACCACAGCCTCCCCAATTCTGATAGCACCCCTTGTAGGCTCTGTCTGACAGGATATTCCAAAGCTACATCAGTAGATATGGGACACTGGACCCAATGGGGCCCCTTGCCTGCTGAGCACCAAAGAGGGGTGCTGGTCAGTTCTGGGGCAGCTTGTGGTGGCCTTTTCTTGTCACATAGGCACGTGCTGCTGCCCATTGACTACTCTTATATGGGAGGGGGCTGGGTAGTCTCTCTCTTTTTTTTTTTTTGTGCCAGTCCTGGGGCTTGAACTCAAGGCCTGGGCACTGTCCCTGAGCATTTTCAGACTTTGGTAGTTAATTGGAGATAAAAGTCTCATGGCTTTCCTCCTTGGGCTGGCTTTGAACCTCCATCCCCAGATCTCTGCCTCCTGAGTAGCTAGGATTACAGATGTGAGCCACCAACATTCAGCAATTTCTTTGCTTTTTTCCTTTCCCTTTTCCTTCCCTTTCCCTTCCCTTCCCTCCCTTTCCTTTCCTTTCCCCCTATTTTCCTCCCTCCCTCCCTCCCTCCCTCTCTCTTTCCTTCCTTCCTTCCTTCCTTTCTTCTTTCTTTCTTTCTCTCTCTCTTTCTTTCTTTCTTTCTTTCTTTCTTTCTTTCTTTCTTTCTTTCTTTCTTTCTTTCTTTCTTTCTTTCTTTCTTTCTTTCTTTCTCTCTCTCTCTTTCTTTCCTTCCTTCTTTCTTCCTTCTCCTCCTCCTTCCTTCCTTCCTTTCCTTCCCTCCCTCCCTCCCTCCCTCCCTCCCTCCCTCCCTCCCTTCCTTCCCTCCTGTTCTGGGATTTGAATTAGGGCTTTCAACTCTAGGTGGTGCTCTACCACGTAAACAATACCTATAGTTCTGGGTTTTTACTGGCTCATTAGAGGTAAGAGTCTTCTCTGCTCTGCTGGCTTTGAATCTCCATCCTCAGACCGTAATCTCCTTAATAGGTAGGGTTATAGACACCAGCAACTGGTGCACAGTTGTGTTCACGGGGTGTCGCTTTCTAACTTCCACAGGGGCTCTGAATGGCTTTGGCTCCAAGATTCTTCCCTGACCCCACTTGTGTGTTTGGTCTAAGCTGTGCACTGTAGTAATAAGTAATGTGGTAACCAAACAAAAGGCGGGGAGGGGGGATAGGAAGGGATGGGAAAGGGAAACAAAAAGGAGGAGACAACAATGCTTGATAAGAAATGTACTCATTACCTTGCCCATGTAATTGTAACCCCTCTGTATGGTATTTTCACAATAAAAAATTAAAAAAAAGAAACAAAATTGAAAGATATACCTATATCTATATCTACATTTATCTATCTATTTATCTATCTATCTATCTATCTAGCAGAACACCAAAAACCCAAACCAGGTTGGCTCCAGGAGATGGTCAAAAAGTTGTGTTGACCACCTGGGAGGAGGGGCAAATGCCTGCAGATGAGAAGCCGCTTTGTTCTCGTACTGCTGCACAGAACATTTTAAAATGCATGCTAGCTTCCATAGTGCTAATGCAGGGTAGGCAGGGTGGAGAACACTGGCCTGTCTTCTGCCACCTGATTGAGTTTCATCGGTTTTGAAGGGATCTGTGGCTTAGCTAGAGTATCAAGTCCAGTTATCTTTTTATAAAGGTCTGACGTCAGACTGCTTTATTCACATTTCAATTTTAACCACAGATGCTCCAGGGTTTACAATGGATCTGTCTCTTAAGTTAAAAATACCATGAAGCTGAAAATGCATTCAGTATATCAACCTTCCTCTAGCCAGCCCCGGGAGATGCCCTCTGGATACCCAGAAAACGCATCTATGTAACATCATGAAATTCTACTTCATAATAAAGTATTGGTTATATCATGTGACTTATCTCAATCAATCTCAGTATAACTGGGTGCTGGTGGCTCACATCTGTAATCCTAACTACTGAGGAGACTGAAATCTGAGGATTGTGGTTCGAAACCAGACTGAGCAGAAAAAAATCCATGAAACTGTTAATCTCTAATTAACTACAAAAAGCTGGGAGTGGAGCTGGCTCAAGTGGTAGAGTGCCAGCATTGAGTGCAAAAGCTAGGGGGCAATGGTCTAGGCACACACGATCCACACAGTACTCATTTTTCTGAGAGCAAATGAGCATGGCTCTTTGGGGACTATCCATTAGCTTAGCTTATTAGACGTTGAAGTATGGCTTCTATTGAATGAATGTTCCATTTCTACCATCCTTAAATTGACAAATTGTTAAGTTGAAGACTGCTTGTTGTTCTTTCTTTCCTTCTCTCCTCTGTTCTTCCTGGGTTGCTTAAAATGCACAGCTCCGGGCAAGAGTTAGTTAAATGGAGCCTCTAGAGTCTTTTCCCAGACAATAAGGGTAGATTTCTTAGGAAGATCTTCCTCTTCTGGGACCCTTGAGCTTGCTAGAAGATGTCCCTGAGCCATGATATGCCCTACTCTCCTTTGGTGGTGAGAAGAGCTAGCCCCTAGGTCCTTTAGAACCAATGTGAAACTGCTTGTCTGAAGGGGGTGGCGGGGGCAGAGCTGGCCCGAGGAGCTCTTCAGGGGCCGGTGATGCCAGGGAGGTTTTAAACCCAACTCTGTCCTTCTTCCTTGCCCAAGGTGGTATAGGGTGGGGAGAGGTTATGCCAGTTTGCCCACGCAAACCTTTCCCAACAGGAAAGCCTATTGTTCAGCAAGTGTCTTAGACACATTGGATAGGCGTGAGCAGGGACTGTGAATGAGCTAGTACCTGCCAAACCACAGGAAGGGAGAGTAGAACCATTGAGGCTGGAAAGGCAGACTCCAGGTAATGGAAGCAATCTGTATCCGCAGCCTATAACCACAGGGGTTCAGAATGAAAACAACCTTTCATGGAGCTAATAATACCAGCTCGCCAAAGCACATATAATCCTCTGTGACTCAGCAAGAAATCTGTGAGCAAGTGAGTACTACTCAGGGTCCTGCCCAGTCCAGCCTTGGGTTCATAACAAGAGTAGGCCTCAGCCCCTAAAAAGGGCCGTAGGGACCAGAAATAAGGTGGGACTTTCTATTTTAGTGGCCTGTGGATTGGGAGTGCTTGACTGAAACAGACATGCCATATCACAGAGCCAAATAAGGCACTGGCTGTACTGTTTCTACAATCCCTGGAGGAGGCTTTGGAGTCAGCCTCGCTCTGTCCTGGGTGCTGAAGACAAAGTATCTGTTCCCATGGAAAACTGTTAAGTTGAAGACGGTCTATAATTCTTTCCTTTTTCTCTCCCCTTGTTCTTGTTGGGGAAAGTGAACAGTTCAGGACAAGAGTCTGTTTAAATAGAGTCTTGGGATGGGTCTCAGTGGCTCATGCCTGTCATCTTAGCTACTGAGATCTGAGGATTGAGGTTTGAGGCCAGCTAAGACAGAAATATCGGAGAGACTCTTATCTCCAATTAAACAACAAAGCCACAAATGGAGGTATGGTTCAAGTGCCAGTTTTCAGCAGAAAAAGCAAAGCAAAAGCGAGAGGCCTCAGTACCAGTACATATATACAAATGAACAAAGAGGGCCTTTAGGGCAGAGAGGTAATCAAGTTGGATAAAGCAGGCTCTCCACTAGTTCTATGAAGGCCATCTGTATCTGCTCACATTTTTTAGAGGCAGGAAGCTAAACACACTTTCTTTAGAGACTTGACACTTTCTGGTAGATTTGGGGACTAAGCAATTTGAAGTGTGTGTATGTGTGTGTGTGTGCATGTGCATGTGAGTGCAAGTGTGCACATGCATGTACATGTATGTATACATACATATGGGTACTCCAGTACTAGGTACTTTTCCTTAGCTTTTTTTGTTCAAAGCTGGAACTCTGCCACTTGGGCCACAGCTCTACTTCTGGCTTTTTGGAGGTTGATTGGAGATAAGAGTCTCATGGACTTTGCCTTGAATAGTGATCCTCAGATCTCAGCCTTCTCCTCCTCCTCCTCCTCCTCCTCTTCCTCCTCCCCTTCCTCCTCCTCCTCCTCCTCTTCCTCTTCTTCCTTCTTCCTCTCCTCTCTGTCTCTCTGTCTTCTTTTTATTTTGGTGCTGAGTCTAGAACTCAGGGCCACAGCACTGTGCCTGGATCTCTACCATTTGAGTCACAGCTTATTTTCCAGCTGTTTGCTGGTTAGAGATAAGAGTCTCACAGACTACTTGTCTAGGCTGGCTTTGAGCCATGATCCTCAGATCTCAGACTCCTGAGTATCTAGGATTACAGGCATGAGGCACCAACACCTGACTTGTCTCATTTCTAACATCCCAGCCCCAGTATCATCTCCAGTTTAAGGTCTTATGAACCCCACCTCCCTAATCATAAGGTGAGGGAGATTTTCCCCCATTTCTGGAGCACTACGTGCCTTCCCATACTATTGTGGCTGCTTGTTTCTGTATCTTCTCTTTGTATCACTAGTACCTACCTGGTCTCTTTTGGATGAAAAGTTTATTTATGAAAATAAATAATGGAGATGTTAAGGTTGCTTGTGAGTATATGGTCAGGTACCCACACTGGGATCCTCTTGAAATAAATGTAGGTTTTTTTTTTCAGTGCTCATTTTTTTGTCTAGAGCAGCATGAAAAAGTAAGCATACTTTTCTGTGCATAATCCACAAAAGCATTTGCATTTCTCTCATGTATTATGGATTCCGATCAAGAAAAATTAATGAAATCAAGGAATCAGAAGTCAATCAAGATAAAATTCTAGTATGCAGTTAAGCTATTAGAGGATGATTCTAGCTGTCTAAGGTCAAGACCATGCTGAATTCCTGTGGCAAGCTGCACAGAGCAGCCTCTGTGAGGGTTTGTGTAGCTGTGGGCACACACTGATTTGACCTATCATGTTCCTTTTGGTGGATCTCCCCACTGAAACTACTTGATCACAAACCATCTATCTCTATTGCGTTTTCCAGGAGGATAGTCTAATATCTTCCATACTTATAAAAATCTGGTTTTGTGTGTTTATTTGTAGTTTTCCAGTCTTGGGGTGGGTTGGGGGCTTGAACTCAGGGTCTGTGCGCTATCCTTTAGCTTCTTTTGCTCAAGGCTAGCGCTTTACTACTTGAGTCATAGCACCACTTCCAGATTTTTATTTTTGGTAATTTACTGGAGAAGAGAGTCTCACTGACTTTCTTGCTCTGGCTGGCTTCAAATCGAGACCCGCAGATCTCAGCCTCCTGAGTAGCTAGGATTAAAGGTGTGAGCCACTAGTGCCAGGTTGAGTTTATTATTCTTATTTTCTTTCTGCTCTTAGTTCTGTTCAGTGATCAAGGGAGACAGCATATGTACAAGTGCTGCACTGGTGGCCCATCTACCACCACTATCATCTCCCTTATCTCCTCTATTACTCATCTACCACCCGCTCAGCATCACCCTGTCTCTCTTCCCACCATCACCAGCTATTACCTTCACCAACTTCCTCATTACTGTCACCACCCCTACTACTTCCATCATGATGTGTATTACCATCATCACTACCTAGATCAACTTCACCAGCACCTGCAACCCCTCCACATGCTTTCCATGTGCAGCCTTAGCAGTGCATTATGTTTTGTAGCCACTAGAGGGAGGCAGTAGCAACAGCTGTTGCTTAGTATTCACTGGGTGTCAGGCTCTTTTTTTCTGGTCACAGGCAGAATTTGCTAATACTCCCTATCTGGGAAAAGGAAGATATTATTTTTCTGCCTTTCAGGCCAACTGCATCATTTATTTTGGAAGACTTTTGATATATAACTGTGGTAGAATCATAGTCATTGTATGACTCATTTTTATTAGTAGCTTTTATTCTCATTTCCCAGAATATTAATAATACTAGAAATAAGACTTTTCTATATAGAATCTTCGTTTTTACCTCCCCAAATTGTCTCACCTATATTGTTTCATTGTAAGTATTCAGCCGATTTTGTTTCAGTTGGGCAGTTAGAAGATACTGCAAGGATGATGATTTCTGTCCACGTAAGAGGCACAGACACAGTTTGTGGGTGGCCTGCCAGTGAGGGGTAACAGGCCTTGCCATCCCAGGATGTGGCTTCAACAGTTGGGGACAAGGGTCAGACCTTTGGTCTCATTGAAGGGGTTCTCACTGGGCAGGGGGCTTCCCAGCATAGCTGGTACTTACCCAGGGAGACACGGGCCACACTCAGCATCATTCTCCATGTCCCCTGGTGTCAGCACGGTGGCCCGGAAGAAGCCCTCACAATCTTTGTGGCGCCTGCATATCTGGTAGCCTCCTTTGGAAAACTTCTCTGCTGGGCAGGGCACGCAGCTATAATCTTCATCTTTGGTGCCATAGCCGCAGGACTGCCAGGGAGCGGTAGATAAGAAGACATGGTGAGCATGATGGGTCAGTCTAGTTGGATGCTGGCTTTCTCCGGAAGCTACTCTTGCCAGGCCTTAGCTTCCTGCCTCATCTTCATGGCAAATCCCTCACTTTGCCAGCTCTAGCCAAATTCTCTCCTCTCCCTGTAAGCTTGTCTTAGGCTTGCCTGATGTTTTCTGAGGTCCCTAAGTCCACTGACTTCTGGAATTTCCCATCAGTGGAACAGCTCTGGGACCTGACTTTTCTCAGTGCTATGCAAGACTGAAACTTGGAAGTACTGAGCTTGAATAAATTAAGCATCCACATTTAACTTTCCTCTCTGCACAGGAAGGGAGATGATATCCTCAAATTGATAGATAATTCTGTTACTAGAGACAACTTCAGGCATGTTTCCACTTTAGATACCAGACACTCATTTAATCAGGGTAGAACAAGAAATTAATCTTCCTTTAAAAAAAAACTGATCACTTGCCAGGTGCTGGTAGCTTACATCTGTGATCCTAGCTATTCAAGAGGCTGAGATCTGAAGATAGCAGTTTGAAACCAGCCGGAGCAGAAAAGTCCATGAGATTCATATCTCCCATTAACCCATTAAGCAGCAAAAGCCACAAGGAGAAGTGTGACTCAAGTGGTAGAAGAGCAGCCTTAAGCAAAAAATAAAAAAATAAAGCCAAACAAGAATATGAATCCCTGAGTTTAATCCTCAGAGTCAGCATACACACAGAAAAGAATTCACAACTCCTGAGGAATCTGCCAATAAATGGTCAGCCAGTAAGAGCACTGGACACATCACAGTTCAGCCTCAGAAGCCAGCAACCACAGGGAGACACTTGATGACCATTGGTAAAATACAATGGTACTGCAGGCAGCCAGTTGTGCCCAGGATGGTCCTTACCATATAGGGTTCCTCCCCGGGCCCACAGGGGGGGCACTGGTGGCACATTCCGGTGGTTTGGTTGTGGTATTCATTCTCACCACAATTGGAGTCTTCTGCCCTGGCTGAGCACATCAGAGATACCTGCCACAGAAACATTGTTGGGTCTCAGTGCCTCCTCCAGACACACACACACTTGCTCAAAGTAGTGCCCAAGAGGCCTGAGGTCTATCTGGGAATGTAGGCCCCTGTGGTGCCAGCCTTATCCTGGAGGGTGCGGCCCAGTGAGTCCTGCATTGGTGCTGCAACCAGGGGACTTGTAGGCCATTGGCTGGTCAAGGTCATAGCCACCTCTCATCAGTAGCCACCATCCAGAACCATTTCCTTCTTACTTTGCTGTCTAACCCCGGCCCACCTTGTCCCTGCCTTCCCTCTACCCCATCAAGGTTGTCTCAAGTTTCCTTCACCCATGCAGTCCTCCTTTGATTCTCTCTACTGTCATGGCCAAGGTGGCACCTCTGAAGCTGGCCTTTCAGTCATATAGCATCCCCACCAAGACTCCTAAAAGGAACCCTGAATATTTCTTCACTGTGGACTCATCCCACAAGGGTGGCTGTGGTTAGCTCACCACCCATAAGCCCTAGGGATGTTTTCATCCATGATCCTGCACTAGAATCCAATCTTCAATCTAACTGGAGGACAGATAGTACACAGGACTTTGCAGAAATGATCTCACTTCATCCCCAGAAGAACACTAAGAAGGAGGTGCTGCTCCTGTCATCCTGTCTAATGGCGGGGGAAGCTGAAGCTGGAGATGCTAAGGATCCGGTCTAAGGTAGCACAGCTGGTGAAGGCTGAGGTCTGGAGAGGAGGTTCTGGTCCATCATTACCAGAGTTGGGCGGTGTAAGCAGGTGCTCAGAGCCACTTACCACCAGGACAGGGAGCCAGGGCGTCCATTTACAGTCCCCCATATGGGCCATGCTCTCCTGAGGGTGTACCTGAAAGACACATTCTTATCAGCATCAGGTGGACACTGACAGTGACCCCTCAGCCTCAAGTCTGCCTGCCTTCATCTTCATTGGATGTAAGGTACATCCCAGCAGGCCTTGTGGGAAAGCATACACCCTAAAAGACTTTTCTTTTGGCTTGAAGCCAAGTCCCAGGCTGTGCCCTTGGACCAGCTCTGAGGCCCTCCCCAGCATCATGCCATTTCCAAGAAAAAGCCATAAGACTGAAACCTATTGTTAAATCCAGGACTGGGACAATGTTAACAGTACTCATACAACATAGGGTGTTCTTTCACAAGCTTTATGTATGGGATGGCCCAGGCTAGTTTTCATCCTTGGTCTCCAATACAGCAAGAAGACCCCTAGAGATACTGCTGGAGGTCAGAGTTGGGCCCATCCTTCTCCCTTCTCTCCCAGCTTTCTCTCCAGTTTTCTCTCCCAGCTCTCTCTCTCTTCTCCCCTTCTCCCTCTCTCTCTAGTGTAGCACAGACCATTAATCAAAGCAGGTGAGTAAAGTCCAATGTCCTAACCTGATAATGGAGACTACTAAAGGTACGTGACGTGACCACAGTTACATGGCTAGCTACATAATAGCAGAGGTGGCTATGGCCTAGGTTCACAAGTTCTTCACTGACGACTACATTAATGCATTACTTTGCAGGAGGGGACTGTGTGTGTATTCATCATTTTACTTTATGAATTTGTGTTTCCAGCTGAAGCAGTTTTACCTGGGAGTCTGGATTTTAATTTGCCTGGTTGGACAGGGAGAGAAGACATGTTTCTCTGAACTCCTGGACTCTGCACTGCGACACTGGTCACTGTGTCGACATTGAGAGTGAATTAGTGACAAACAGTACGCCTTCCCCTTGGGGGGTGTAGGCAATACTTACACTGCTTTCTGCTGGGGAGAGGAAAGACTCTTTAGTGGGGCCCACGAATTAACTAGAGGCTGCATAAGAGCTGGGCACCCCCCACTTTGCATCTATGTTTTTTTTTATCTGATGCTTTATTTCTTGAAGTCACTTTGCAATCACATTGGGTTCCAGGAAGGACAGGATTTGCTCATAAGCATCGTGGGATACAAAACAAACTGCCCCTCAGACAAGCAATGCTGCCTTCTTATTATTCTGTGGCAAAATTACTCTAAAGGAAGACAATAACCAAGATATGAAGACAAACCATCTGCCAGGTAACAGAGGCCTGGCCACAGTGAGTGACTTAGTCTCACTCCCCTGAAGTGATGAACAAATTCTTTGACCCTTCCCTCAAGACAAAGACTGAGATAATGATCAGCCAGGCCACACTAATAACTGGGGTGGTTGCATGTCTCCCTCCCTATGGTTCGCAGTTCTTCAATTATAAAACCTAAAGCTCATACTTGTACCCCAAATATGGCCAAATATGTATGATATCTTCCCAAGGCAGACCCGTGCCATGTAATACATCATTCTCTGTCCTTCACCATATCTCTTTATTTGGTGTATGGGAGTGGGTGAGGCGGACTTGGCATGTGGAATTCATGGAGTTTGGCTGGAGGTCTAAATCTCCAGTTTCAGAATCCATCTTAGACTCAGACCAGAGGATAAACTGGGCCTTGGGAGCCCTCCAGGTCTTGTCCTTCAAGTTGGTCATGGAAATCTATAATTACCAATAGCACACAAGAAAATACTGGATAGAAATGCTCAAGGCAGGAGCGCATGGTGAATTGGAAATCATTGTTTGCCTTCCCTCTTTCTTTCCTTTCTTCTTTCCCTCCTAGTCTTAAGACTTTGTCCCTACAATATCCTAGAAAAACTAGGTAGAAAAGTAGCCAAAATATAGAAAAAAAATCCAGGTTGTATGTAGCTCACTAATGAGAGGTTATCTAGAAAGAGAGAGAGAGAGAGAGAGTATGTGTGTGTGTGTGTGTGTGTGTGTGTGTGTGTGTGTGTGTCTTGAAGTTCTTTGCTGGGCTTACAGACCACTGTTCAATAACAAAGATGTTATATAGATGTTTCTGTGGCTGTGCTTATAAAGGTTGTTTTTTTTTTGTAAGTAATGGAGGCCCTCATGCAGTTATCTTTTTTTATTTTTTATTTATTTTTGGGGGGGTCCGGTTGTGGGGCCTGAACTCTGGGCCTGGGCGCTGTCCCTCAGCTCTTCAGCTCAAGGCTAGTGCTCTACCACTTGAGCCACAGCGCCACTTCCGGCTTTTTTCTTTTTGCTTATGTGGTGCTGAGGAATCGAACCCAGGGCCTCAGGCATGCAAGGCAAGCGCTCTACCACTGAGCCACCTTCCCAGCCCTGCAGTTATCTTTTTTTAAACTCAAGTCTGGTGCACTACCACTTGAGCCACAGCTCCACTTCCTGCTTCTTGGTGGTTAATTAGATGTAAGAGTCTCATGGACCTTTCTGCTTGAGATGGCTTAGAACCTTGATCCTTCCAATCTCAGCCTTCTGAGTAGCTAGGATTACAGGTGTGAACCACTTGTATCTGCCTTGTCAAAATTTTTATATGTGTGGAAGCAGGTCTGGGAGATAGATGTCCACTAACCTTCTGAGAGTTGTTCTGAGAGTTGTTGGCAGGAAGTGAAAGAGTCTGGGTTGATCAAGGACTCAGGTTTAGAATGCATGGTTTTTTAGAATCCTTTAGAGCTTCAAGATTAAACCAACCAACCAACCAACCAACCAACCAAGATATTTTTCTGTCTGGGAGAAGCTCATCTCCCCAATTGGTCATGTGGGTTAGATAAAAGGTCGGAGCTTGACGCTTCCATGGGCCCAGGTGAACAAATGGTGTAGGTACATGGCGGTGGTTCTCCCTGGGCCATTTTTACCAGGTGCCTCTGGAGGAAGGAGCAGATTACTGGATCCTCTCGAAGCTCAGTGCTGCATATACATTTGAAAACCATGAGGTAGATGAAGGCAAGATGAAAGCACCCAGGCAGCTCCCTGGCCTTGAACTTGCTGGGTGTTTTTCCTTCTAGCAACAGCAAGCTAGGGCAGGTAGCTAAAAGGCTGGCTGCAGCTCTGCCAATAAGGGAGGGGCAGAGACTAGAAAGGGGAGCTGCCCAGGGCCCCCAGCCTGGCCTCACTTCAGAAGGACAGTGGGGTAGCGGAGGTTAGTTTCCAGGAGTCTGTGGACAGGGCCAGAGGCTGTCAACCGTGCTGGAGGCCTTCCAAGGAGCCATTTTAATGGTTTCTAATTTAAGTGACTTCTAATTATAGCTGAGCCTTGGGGGCTTCTCTGACACACTGGGCCTGCCAAATTGTGGTGCCAGCCAGGAGAATTTATGGAAAGGCTCATTAAAGACATTCCCAATAAAACCAAAGAGTCAAAAGGAAAATAAACAGATAAAGCCAAACAAAAGATCCATGGCATTTTCATTACTGTGATCAGTTTTCCTAGAAGGGAAGTGGTCAGGATGTGCATGCGCGGCATTTTGGGGTTCCGCTTCTGAGAGCTGCAAGGATGCAGGCAGAGGCTGGCATGATGGAATAGCTGTGCTATTTTGGGGACTGCTAGCCTTTGGTATAGGGCAGGATCCAGAGTCATTGCCAGAAGTACAAGGCACAGAGATGAGGGAAGGTACCTGTAGCTCAGGTCCTATGATTGACTGATGGGCGACAAGAGAGCATGATCATGCATTTTGCCACCTACCTGCAGACAAGGTTGCTGCTTAAATTGTGGAACTGACCAGCTGGCAAATGGCCACCCAGTGGCAAATCAGCAGCCTCCTCTGGGGTATCAATACCCATTACTGGAATCCAGCAGCACCTGTTTGCTATCTGGTACCTGTGATCTTTCTTCATGATACAGCATAGGCAAAGCAGTTGAGCCCAGAATGCCTGCTTTCTGCCCTGGGCAGGAGACGCCACCTGACCTTCCTCACTGACTGCCTTCTTCCTTCCCACCCGCTCTACTTCTCTGCTTCCTGCAATTCACATTGCCACAAGATTTCTACCTAAGAAGATAATTTGGCCAGGCATCAGTGGCTCATGCATCAGTGGCTCATGCCTGTAATCCTAGCTATTCAGAAGACAGATCTGAGGATGGAGGTTTGAAACCGCAGGGAAGTACATGAGATTCTCAACTCTCATGAACCAGCAAAAAACTGAAATTAGAGCTGTTTCTCAAGTGGTAGAGTGCTAGTCTTGAGGGCCAAAAGCTGAGGGACAGTTCAAGCCCCCCCAAAGAGAGAAGGAGAGAGAGAGAATCCATAATCACAGCAACAGTGATCAGGACTCCAGGACAGGTACCAATCCCGCTAAGCAATTGCTGTGATTAAGTGAGAAAGCTATGTGTCAGGGGCCTCTTGGGATTGGAAAACACCATACAGGTATAAGGTGACCATTCTCTTAGGGAAGGGTGTGTGTGCTGGCTGCTTCAGCTTGACCTCCTTGGTCGGGTTATTATGTGCCTATCGGGAGCCACCACCATGGCGCAGCAAGTCTCCCATGCCTGGTCTCTTGTCCTAGCTCCTGGGAAGGATGAACTAACAAGTAGAACTTGTTGCCAGGAAATGGCTAAAGAAGGTGATGTAGCTTGCTCGTGAGTACTTGCATCCCCAGGCATGGATCTTCCAGACTAAGCCCAGCCTCACAGACAATCATCAGAGGAAGATTTGTTAACTGTTAAATGAAGTACAGGCCAGGTGAGAAGATCATAAGCCACACACAGCAGCATTCATGGGCTTTGCTGCTCAAGGTGGGGCATCTCCTGAGAACTTGTTAAAAATTCAGGTCTCAGGCCAGTTGCTGGGGCTCACTCCTGAAATGCTGGCTACTCAAGAGGCTGAGATCTGAGGATTAAGGTTTAAAGCCAACCCCAGGAGAAAAGGCTGTGAGACTTTTATCTTCAAGTAACCACTAAAAAGCCAGAAGTGAAGCTGTACCTCAAATGGTAGAGTGTTAGTCTTGAGTGAAAAAGCTAAGGAAAAGTGCCCAAGCCCTGAGTTCAAGCTCCAGTACTGGCTTGCCTACCACATCTGCAG